GACTCCATGGTCCATGCAGTATAAACCAAATTCAAAATTTTACATAGCAATGTCTTTTTTCTGTTTGGTTTTTAAATTGTACATCCAGTTATGATGATATGATTTGCATATGTTACAAGTGTTTGTCCTGACAATCAATGTGGATAAATATATGACTTCTACGGACGTTTAACATTTGCTATTCAATTTAAACCTTAATGTCTTTAACTTTCATTACATATACCACAAGAAAAAAAAAACTTGTAATTTCAATAAATGTGCTTACCTGACAAGCTTTTGATGCGCTCTTGAAGTATTTTTTCCTTGAAATCATTCTGCAATTTCCTTGTAATCAAATGAAAACCGGTGTAACACGTTATCAAAATGTAAACACCAATAATGGAATATGCCACCTTTCGAAATGAAAGTGTCTGCCAGCGCCACATCAATCTCAGCATATTTCTTTATCACTTTCCTGTCAGCTCATTATACCATTTTTATGGCTTTTTAAATACTAATCACAAAACAGAATGACGGAGTAGCCTGAGTGGGAAGTTAACCAGTCCATGATTGGTTTTTGAAATGGAAAGATAATTTCTAAACTTCTGTCCATTTTTAAATAAAGCACACAATATTATTATTAATTATACAACATAATGAATCCAAGATTGTACATGATTAAAGTTAAATAGCAAGACGTTGGCAAAGCAGCTAAAACAGTGAACTTACAGGTCTAATGGTATTAGATGTTCCACAATATAGGCTAGGCTCTAAATCTTACTAAACTCTGATTTAACAACACCTGCACTTACATTAGTTCTGGTGATTAAAATTTCATTACGTAAAATTCTAAAATCCACAATGATAATGTGACGTATTTGAAGATGAACACATTTGTTAATTCAAACTATTAGTGATACATCATTAGGGAAAGAATGAAAGCTTATGTTTTTTCCATCGCACTTTCAGATGACTTTAAATGACAATTACTAATCATAATCGGGCTAACTATTCATTAGGCCTAATCAAAATGTTATTGATAATGGTCAAATTTGAAGACATATACTGAAAGGCCACATGAAAAAAGAAGCAACTCGCCAAAAATTATCTGACACTTATTTTACTCAGCTTGACCAAGGCACACTTCTCCAACGTCCGGAAAATACTTTCGGTTTCACCCATACCATCCTGAAATGGTTCCGCTCGTATCTGAATAATCAGGTCCAATCAGTTATCGCAAACAGCTTGACCTCGATTGCAATCTATCATCGAATTCGGAGTTCCCCAGGGCTCGGTCCTAGGCCCGGTGCTTTTCACTATGTACCTTCAGTCCCTGGGTACAGTGATCAAGCAGTTTGATATGTTATATCACATGTTCGCGGATGATACCCAACTTCAGATATCTGTGATCCCCTCTCAGTTCCCTCAGCTTCTTAGTATGACACAGAAGACAGTGGAATCAGTTAAGTACTGGATGACTATAAACAAGCTTAAATTGAAAGATGAAAAGACCGAGCTGATCCTAATTGCTACCGCTCAAAAGCTAAAATATATAAATAACACACAAACCCTTACTCTCTCAGATATACAGATTGAGTTTGCTCAAACAGTGTGAAACCTGGGTGTCTACTTAGACAGAACCCTAACTATGGAAAATCCCATTAACATGCTCTGCAAGGTGATTTTTCTAGAGCTGCGCAGAATTAGTTATATCAGATCTTTCTTAATGTTAGATGCATCAAAGAGGCTGATGTCTGCATTCGTGCTATCACGCATGGACTACTGCAATGCTCTTAAGGTGGGTCTTCCAGCTACGCTCCTGGATAAAATTAAAAAAGCACAGAATAATGCGGTTTGGCATTGTTCTTCGAAAACGCAAATTCAACCATGCTAAAACACTTCTGAGAGAGTTGCATTGGCTGCCAGTCCGCGCTCACATAGAGTACAAAATTGCAACTCTGTGCTACCGCTGCTTGCATGACCTGGCACAGTCCTATCTCAAAGCGCTACTGACGCCTTATGTACCCACTAGACAACTCCGCTCATCTGATAGTGGCAAACTCTTGATACCATGTGTTCGCCTTGAGACTTACTAGGGGCGCACTTTCGCATTTGCTAGTCCAACAATTTGGAACACCCTTCCTGTCGCTCTCAGAAACAGTCAGACACTGGAGTCTTTCAAAACTGATTTGAAGACTTATTTATTTCGCAAACACCTGCTGGGGTGATGTCTATCTAGCTATTTTCTTGTGGATGTATAATGGCCTGTGTTGTTTATGGTTGCAAGGTATGAAAGATTTAGAATGGGTATTCTTGGATGTAGTTTTTGTAATGTTGCATTTTGTACTTCAATGTGGTATGTATATGCTTTCAGCCTTTGGGGATGAAGCGTGATTTTCAAATAATCTTTATTATTATTATTTTTAAGTAACAACTTAGTCAAGTTAGTGTCAACTTTACTAACAACTATGCTAACTGTCAAATAAATTTGCCATTCCCCAGACTGCAATCAATAATCCCACTAATTTGTTTGGTTTTTATTACTCCACCACCGTTGTCACAACAAATTAAACACACTTGTCACCCCTTCTCCCCTTGGATACAAGAGACCATTTATGATTATGGATGGCCCTGTCCTGGGCAATTATTACATTTATTATCAAGAGTTTGTTAAAGTCTAGACCAGGGGTCACCAAACTACGGCCCACGGGCAGGATCACAATGCTAGTTCATCACGACTGCTGACCGTACTTAAATTTGCTTGATTAAACGTATTGAACATGTGATACAATTTAATTAATATGTTTAGAATTTTAAAATTCTAACAAATTATAAAAAATATTACCCGTTGTGTTATATAGAGCAAATTTCATGTAAAAAAAATGAAACCAGAATAAACTCTTCTAGCTTTACTACTTTTTGAGCTATGAACGTTTTAAGTATGAGCTCCTTTGGTATTTTTACTATTGACTTCACCTCTAAATTTTGTGACCCCCCATCGGCTTTGTGCCGAAACGTCCTTGTTTTTTGTCCTGTTATCTTATTTCAAGCTTCCACATACCTCGTTGTGCTATTTCACGGGTTTTTAAACCTCCAATTAAATATTGCAGTTTAAATTACTTCCAAGTTCATTCTAAAACACAAATTATAAATATTTTGATGTAAATAGTGGAAATAGTGATAATAATTAAATATTTCCTAAGTATCTGCATTTTCCACCATTAAAAAGGGGGCATGGTCGAAAAGCACAGAATGATTATGAGGCCCACACTCCTCATTTTGTCATTTATCCGGCCCACTGTGAAAAAAGTTTGGTGACCTCGATTCTAGACCCACAATATATTTTTTTTCAAAATTCTAAGAGAATAGTCTTAATTCGTAGATTTATTAAATAAAGGCCAAACTGAGATTTGTAAACCACTGACCTCTCTTTAGTTAAATTAGTAATTAGTAGACTTTAATGACATCAACTTAACTTTTATTAGACATTACATTTAGGCTATTGTTTTAGGAACAACATGCTACACCTTCGCCCATAAATTATTGTTATCAGGCCTATGCCTTAACTTATTTACTTTGCTTAGTTTATTACTACAGCCTACAAACTATGTCTAAGCCTCCTATGACTCATTTGGTTTACCGTTACATATAAGCTACACCAGTGTTCCCAAATACCAGTCTGTGAGCCTGACCATGGACCATGTTGATCAGCACAACATGAGACAAGAAATAAAGTTAAACAGTCTTGCCTTAAATTAAGGCTTAATAAAAAAATTGGTAAGCCAAAAAATATGTTTTTAAAGGCAAGCATTAATCATTAAATATCAAGTTAGGCTTTACAGCCTAGAGGAATCTCCCACCTGGCTGATCTGATGGATTTCATTTAGCCCTAAGTCCTAAGCCTAAATATGCATTAAGTTCATATTCATATAGTTACTATAGGCATAGGCCCTACAGTTATGCACACTTAACTTACACTCTGGCCGTATTGTGGGTGTAAGTGAGGTGTAAGTGTATAAGACAAGGCCTAAAATAAGTGCAAAGGCTAAATTCTAAAGACTAAAACTAAAGTATTCTATAGTAACTTTTGACTTATTCTGAGTATCCTAAGTAAGTAAGAGTAAGTGTGCGTAAGTTAAGTGAAACAACAAATCAATACCAAATAACTATAATATTTTTCAATACAAATGAAGCCTTGAAATACTTATTTAGTTTATAAAACAATAATGCATTACTATTTATTGCACTGTTTAGGCTCACACACAAACAGATGGATATCCGTTTCCTTCGACTCTTCGACCTATACAATAAGTCTAAGCGAACAACCTACTGTCCCGAAGTAAACACTTTTTCAGTGTATTGAAACTACGTACTTTCAAGTAAAAGAAATAGTGAAACAAGCCAAATGAATGACCACACTTGCCAGGTAGTAGTGAAGACGAAAGTTTAATGTTGAAACCAAATAATATGAAAGATGTCACTTTATGCCATATTAAAACAAAAATATCAATTAGGAACTAACTAAATAAATATAAAAAATAATGAAAACAAAGTATGTCTTTTGCATTCAATAAGATGCAGGAAAAAATAAACTGCAAACAATAAGAACTCTGTCTCACACTAAAAACTAAAGTAAAGTAAAATAAAATAATTTTGATAGAGATCATACGTTTGTAAATATAATTTAAAATTATAAAGGGATATCTGTGAGCTTTTATTTACATTAATATTGAATTTTACCCAGTTTTTTTTTTTTTTTTGTGGGTCAAACTAACATTTATTTTAAGATATATTTTCAAAATATTACCTAATAATTTATTAAACCTATTAAAAGAATGATCAGTTTAAGTAACAGACAGCAATTAAGAATTTACATTTCAATTTTAGTGTGCTGTGAATCAAATCCAATTATTAGGCAAATAATTTTTCAAGTTCAAAATATTATTGTGTGTGTTCTTTTAAAACGTAAGTGGCCAGTGAAGAGAATTAGTTTTTCGATTATATTAGTTTTAAAAATATATAAAATTTCCACTGTCACACGAAACAATATAGCATATTAAGCATGGCGTCGACTGCTATGGATGAAGTGGGTGAAATCACTGCAAAAGATGAAGAATTGTGCACCATTGAAGCTTCGGTGGTCACTGGATTCGAAGAGTCAGCTCGTGGGGAAGCCAAAGAAAAATTTGACACAGATGTCAAGGCAATGAGAGGCAGAATTATATTTAGAATCCCTTTGGATAGAGTGGAAGATGTAGGACATTTAATTTATTAAATTTAAATTATTAATTATTTTTTTTTTTGTTCAGTATGTTTATGTTACGGCATAGTAGTAATACACCACACGGTAGTCAGTACTAACTTACACTCCTTACTTTCCGACTATTTACTGTTTTAAGCCTAGTATTTTTTATCTTCATATTTTGTAGCATATATAATATATCTATAATAGATTCTATTAAATTATTATTAAATTTATTCATTTTAATTTTATCATTATCAAAATATGACATATGCTGAGACTGAGACTGTTTTAGCCCTAAATAGGAAACCTGGAAGGCTTACTCAACTAAGTTATGTAAAATTTTTAAATGAATTATTGATTTTTATTGTAGTTGGTCTCTGCATCTAGGGAGGGGAAGGGAGGGGGGTCACATTTTAGGGGAAGGGAGGGGGGTCACATTTTTATGACGATCTGTGATGGGGAGGGGCTTGTCTTAAGCAATATGACGTCACATGAAAAAAGGAATATTATAGTAAAGAATTGCACCTAATAACCGAGAATAACCCTAATTTTTAACTGACATTTTTAACATCATTATTTTATTTTTAAACTACGATCACTGAGAGAATCAATACAGGTATGCGAGGTCGGAAAAATGGCCTTTGATCAAGTTACAGGCCGCCATGAAGGAGGAGAAAATGGGTGTGATGACATTAACAGCCGAAATAATTTATATCAATATGTGGAAACAGGAGACAGAATTAGGACTACCACGTGAAAAAGGGAGAGGGTGAATGTAAATACTCTAGGGCAGGGATTCTTAACCTTTTTGCAGCGCTGCAGGCCCACTTCGTTTTCAACATCCAAAACCCCCCCCCCCCCAACCGTATAATTTAAATTGTACTAAAATTCAAAATATAAATTAGGACTACCACGGGAAAAAGGGAGAAGGGGAATGTAAATACTCTAGGGCAGGGATTCTTAACCTTTTTGCAGCGCTGCAGGCCCACTTCGTTTTCAACATCCAAAACCCCCCCCCCCCCAACCGTATAATTTAAATTGTAATAAAATTTAAAATATGAAAATAATTATATAATTTAATTATTGTAGTTAAACAAGACAAAAAATTACCAATACAATTAATGCGTAAAAACCATTCACCAGATAAACATTTAATGCAGCTAATCATATTGCATAAAAGCTTATATATTTTTGTTAAAGTACAACATTTAGCAATGGTAGCAAAGACAATTTTCTGGTCTTCTGCACCTCAGGACTGGCTGGGGAGTTACTTTTACCCCTGGTTAAGAACCACTGTTCTAGTGTAATGTTTCTGACACAAGCAGTAATTTGATATTCATGGGAGGTGAAATTATAAGGGTTTGTAAAGGAACGTTGTGGACACAAGGCATTTTTATAAGGGAGGGTGTAGAGATTTGTGACATTATTTTTGAAGGTGGTCTACCTTTTTGTTATGATGGGGGAGGGGGGTAAAAAATCAGCAAAATTTGTGTGACGTCATTTATGGATAGCCCCTTATACCTACGTCATAAATGTCTATAATTTATTTACATATCCTTTGATGGTTATGATAATAAAATGCATTTGCGATTTTAAATTATCCAAAATTATGCTTAGGATCAGGCCAATATGAGCAAGCAAGCATTGCGTTCTACCTATTATTTCGCTAAGGGTGCTTCTTGTCATACCAACACAGAGCATAAAATAATAACAGTTGAGATTTTGAAACATTTTCAACTTCAATGGGTCTCAAACTTTTTACACATGACTAACATGAGGACACAATGTATAATTGAAATTGCATCAATCTACTATATTATTGTCTAAGTTAGTTTCTAACTTCTAATAAATAATAAAAGTGTTGGAATGAGATAAAGCTTCAAAATAGATTAATTAGACACAAACAATGTGTGTCAATATAACAATGTATGTTGAGCTTTAATAATAATGTTACATAATACACAAATAGACGTTTTGGCAAATGTTTCATCAGTATAACAAATAACAACAAAACATTTAAATAAGTGTATAGTAATTTTACATAGTATATATATGCATATATCCTACCTAAAAAAGGAGAAAAAATAGGAGTGGGTGCAAAAAAACCAGACAGAAACAAAGTAAAGAAGAATGAAAAGGAAGTGATTTAAAAAAAATTTGTAAAAGCAGCTCTCACTCGAGTTAAGAACAGAATTCTTTTAAAGCTACTTATTCTGACACTAGGGATAGGTCTAAATTTATTTTAACTTTTCATCCCCATAACCTTAAAGCTCGTTTTCTGGTTCCGAAAATCTGCTCAATTCTAATCTAATGGCAGACCCTGTCACCAATGAGATTTTCAGAAAACCTCCTCTTTTTGCTTTCCGGAGGGACAAGAGCCTTAGGGACATGCTAGTTAGAAGCCACCTCCCTGCTATTAAAGCACCAAAAGTTGCAACCGTAGCCGTTGTAATACATGTCCCTATGTGAGTGAAGTTGATAAGGTCACTCTCCCTCTGGAAATATTCAGAATAAAAGATGGCTTTACCAAACCTGTTTACTCCCCAAACTTTTAAAATCGTACAATATCACCAGAAAATTGTTCAATACATTATCTTAATAGTAAAAGAATAAACATACAGTATATAAAATGTATACACCTCAAAATCGTACATTGTACGCCAAAATCGTAAGAGTAAACAGGTCTGCTTTACCTGCACAAGTTGCAACGTGATTTACACCATCCTTTTTAAAAAATACAGTAATTTTATGTAGGAGAGACAGGTCATCCCCTTGTAGACTGGTTTAAAGAACACCTCTTTAACATAAATAAAGAGGCTCTCTGTCCGGTCTCCAAACATTTCAATAGCTCTAACCATGATGGAATTTTAAAAATGGCAGTTACTGGTATTCTGTATGCTAGTAACGCACCTGATAGGGTCTATATGGAGAATAAATTAAAACAAGATTTTGTACGTTAACTCCATACAGGATAAATCAAATCCACAATTTAAGTAACTGCCATGTCTTTTTCCTATTTGCTTTTTTTACTCAATTCTGTAAAAATTATTATTAAAGCTTAACATATATTGTTATATTGACACAAATTGTTCATGTCTAATTTATCTATTCTAACTTCTAAGAATAAGTAAGTACTAAGCAGTTTTCCCTTTAAACAGATGAGTACATGGATCTAAAAAAGGTTTTTCTCTATATTATCAATGCTCTACTATCTATCATTAGACCTCCATTGGGAATGAGATAAAGATGTAAAGTTTATTTTTGGGGCTAGACCATAAAGGCCTAAATATAGGTTGGGCACGACTGGTTTGGTTAATAAGTCTTCCCTGTAGTTTAACTCAAACTTCCCAACTTTATGCCCTTCTATTTTTCATATCTTGTATAATTTATGTTGAAAATTCACTACTCAATCACCATGATTGTACAAGTTTAAAACACTTTTATTTAAATGACCCAGCCATAATATAAATTACAGACATAAAGTAAATTAAGTCTATTAAATATTTTAAACATCCGGTCAAACTCAAAAGTTATTTTCTATGTATGAACAGATAATAGCATATAAACATGTGTATTATTACATAATGATTTATTGCGCATTTAGGTTTGGATATTCTAATAATGTTAAATATGACATATGTCATAGAGTTGACAAAATGTTTGAAAAGACCACCTCCAAATTTCATGGGTTATCAAATTTTGTTTATACTTAATACACTTATATGATTGATGTTTATTTTATTCTTTTGGGTGCATTAGAGTGGTGCCTAAATGATTGTACAAAAACTTTTTTTATTTAACTTTAACTGATCTATGAGTTATTCATTTATTGACCAATTCAATTTTAAAAAATTTAAATCTCAGGTATTCAAAATGGGATCTATTGACAACTTTAGAGTTGTTATGCACAATGAACCATACTTCAGATTTACAGATCAAGTAAGTTATTTATACAAATATAAGTAGCCTACACATCCGCAATATAACAACCACACAGGCCTTCAAAACTGCACTCAAAACACATCTATTTAAACTATACTACTCTGACTGATTCTCCTCCTATAAACCGATAAACGTACATGGGTTTCCTTGTCAAAATGTCTGGTGTGGATGGATGAATATACCTCTGGTGTTGTTTTGCTTATATGTTGTTTTTATTTCATTTATGTATTTTATTTTAATATTATGATTATGCCTCTTTGCTATATTTATGTACAGCGCGGTGAGCCCAGCCCTAGGCCGGGGTACCGCGCTATATAAGACCACTTATTATTATTATTATTACTATACATTCATGTGACTTAAACCATTAGAAAATAATATTCTTTATTTCTCATTTATGGATGTAAAGAATGATACTGCCAGATATTTAATATAAACAATTATCTGATTTCATAAATTCTATTTTATTTGATTTATTGGCTATCTTAAAATGGAAATCACTTTTACTGGATTTTTTAATATCTGTAACATAAACAAAATAGTGTTAAAATTACTTGTTTCTGATTCTAATTCTTAAAGACATGTATAATCCGCCAATAAATTAATTAAATATATGAATTCATAATTTCATATTTATAACAACTAATTATTATTTATTTTCATGTTCAAGTTAAATGTATCTTCAGAATTATTATTGATCTTATTGTGTCTTCACATGTATCAGTGTCCAAAATAAATGGAGAAGGCCAGTTTTAACAAACCAAGTTATTTGGAAAAGTTAATTAGAAGAATTGTGAATTTTTCAAATATTTTGTATAAAACTATGTGCCTTTAAATTTTAAATAATGGTTCTCATCCTTACTAGCATGATAGTCTTGCAAGGCTTCAGAAAATGGTTGCTAATGTCAACTGGGAGTCAGGCCTCAAAGTCTGGAAACGTTTCAATAATTTCCCACATCCTATCCCACCTCATCCTGAGGTAGTGCCTTCTCCAGATGATCTTGTAGATGTGGTTATACTTAAAAAACTGCCAGCACCAAAAAGCAAAGAGGAAAAGAAGAATAAAAAGGGAGGGAGGGGAAAGAAAAAAGAAAATAGAGGTCCCAGAGCAAAATTTCAAGACAAGAAAGAAGTCAAAACTGAATTGGATTCAGAGCTGTTGAAAAAAACTGAGGAAAGTGTTAACAACTGTGATAAAAATGCCAACTTCCAGTGTCTTAATATTGAATCTTTATGCATTGAAGATGCTGCTGCAAAACCTGTGTTTGACGATGTTAAGAAAGATTCATTGACATCTACAGTGACTGTAGTTTTTGATGAGAAATCTCCACAGGCCAATGAGGTAATAAAAGCAAGTGAACAAGATTCAGAGGAGAAGCTAACTCCATGTCAACAAGAACCAAAAACTGTCATTATAAAACGTAAAGAAGACTGGGATAAGGATACAAAAATAGATATCAAAGTCCTGTTGCCAAATCCTGATGAAGATGCCTTTCCAGTCAAGCTGAGTGACAAAGACCAGCGGGAAGTTGAGCCAATGGAAGTTGATCTGTCATTGTTGAATGCAAGTTTAAGTCAAATGACTAATGAAGAATCTGCTGGGTCTGTGAAAAACTTGGACACTAAAACATCTGTAGAAGAAGGCAGGGAAACACCTACTTTGTCAGATGACTCCAAACCAGCTGAGATAAAATTGAAATCAAAGCAAAGCATTTCAAGTGTTAGTGAAAATGAATTCGCGTCATGCATAATAGAGAGGCTGACCTCCCCACCAAATTCTCCCATGAGAGATTTTGAGACTACTTCTATCTTGTCCCCTAAGAATACAGGTACTCCTCCACCTACACCCATACGAAGCTTGGTGAGCCCAGTTTCTGACCCACCATTGCTGAAAAATGAGTTTCCAGAGGGTCAGGTTGATGGTGATGAATCATCCTTTAATGAGTCTTCTAGTCCTAAGAATGAAAGCAAATTTTCAGAAACTGAGGAAAAAGGAGTTGTCTCTGATACAGCTCAAATAAAGCCTGTACGGGACCCAACCAAACCCAAATTTCGTGTTACATGCAACAGAGTGGGGGAATCACACCCTTTTGATTCACCAAGTGCAGCTGCTAGTTTTGGAAGTGCTATTATAACTTACCACAAGTGGCCAGTAGATCTCAAGGATTTTGACATCGAGGCAAGGATTGCTTTTTTGTTTCTCTCATGTTGTGTTGCCCTTTTTTTTTGCTGTCACTATAGTTAGATTTATTATATTATGCTGAAGTCAAATAGAAATTTATGCCAAACTTTACTGTCAGGATGATGTAGTTCTGAAATCATAATACCATGATAGCAGTAATGTGCTGCTTATATATACATAAAATATGTTTAAAATGTGTTAGGCAAAAACTTGAAATATTAACATCAAAATAATTAAACCACAGATGGCATAGATTATTCTTCTTTAAAAAAAAAAAAAAGGATACATGCCATATAACCTGAAAAACAGCACTAGTTTTAGGGAGATGGGGCAGCATGAACTGAAGAGCTGTGCATTTTAGCAGCACATCAGTGCATTCAGGATGTGTGTTTTAAACTGTTAATTTATACATTTAACAAACATGGAGTTGTTTTATGAAACATATTATTATATTATGGACTAGTTAATGTATTAATCAACATCACAATAATACATTTAATCACAGGTACTGCTTAACATAGAAAATGAGGAAGTAACTGTCTCTCTTGCCCTGACAAAAATGAGTTTGCACAACAGAAACTTGGTGGCATTTGGGCCAACTACTCTAAGAGCCACTATTTGCTATAACATGCTCAGGTGACTGATTAATTGTAAATCCACACATTGTACCTAAGTCAGCTACAGTGAAATGAAATATGTTATATTCATCCATAGTTGATTGCTGTAAAAAAATAATGTATTATTTCACATATGACACCAACACAATTTGGGACTCCCTCTTTCCATATTATAATACTTTAAGACAAAATAAAATCACTCATCATCTCATATTCACTATCACACTGTATCTCAAAATTCTTAAAATATCTTCCAAGCTGATTGCATGACATAAGTTATGAAGAAATCTCTTAACAGTGCATTTCCTCATAAATTATAAATTGAAAATATAAACTGATGAATTTGTGTGTTTTAGGCTATGCCGTATAAAAAATGGAGACTTTATATGTGATCCCATGTGTGGCACTGGAGCAATACCTATAGAGGGTGCTATGAACTGGGTAAATTGTTTTCATTTTGGTGGAGACTGTCATGACAAGGCCATAGAACGTGCTAGCCAGAACATAACAGCTATTCAAGACAAAAGGAAACTGGAAAAGAAGTCAGTGCAATAATTATTAAGCTTTGTGATTATAATTATATATACAATTTTCTATCCATCTTGACCTTCTTAAAATGCATTTCAAGTACAGTTTCAAGTACATATTTTTAACGATTGCTGTCACTATGTGTTTTTGTACATATCATTTTGGCTGTACTATGCAATTAGTATTACAGACCTGTTTACCCTCAAACTCTTAAAATTGTACAATATTATCACAAAATTGTTCAATACGTTATACTTGTAGTAAAAAATAAACATATAGTATATACAATCTATACACCTCAAAATCGTACATTGTACGCCATAATCGTAAGAGTAAACAAGTCTGGTATTATTATTTTATATAGATAAGTATAGTGAATTGTTTTTTTTTATGCCATTACAAATATTTAAGTGATTACCATATTCAAAGCATAAAATATTCTCAGGAGTACCTTGAAACTTGACGCTGTTCAGTGGAATATTGAACATTTTCCACTGAGGGACCGATGTGTAGATGTTTTTGTTTCAGATTTGGTAAGTTGGTAAAGTTGTGTAACTATTTGATTTGAAATTATTATACATTAATAATACATGTAGTTGAAAATAATATTTGTCTAATAGTACTAAAAGACATATTTGAAAAGTAGACAAGAGAAAATAATCTTTGTATTTATTGATTTTTTTTTTTTTCAACTTTAACCATATTGTTAATTAGTAAACTTTAAACAATATTTTTCACTTTAAATCTACAGCCATTTGGACACAGGTAAATAATATTAATAGCTTGTTTTGGTAAGGTTTTTTTACGAGACAATGTTAGCATGATTATTAAAAGGGTTTTTATAATCACTTTAATTGAAACATTAAAATTTAAAGAGTCTGAAACAATATTTAGTTTGAGAGAAACTTGAACAAGACATACAATCTGCATCACATGCTTATTATAACATTGAAATCTCGTCTCAGAATAGGAACTAGAGCTGTCAACCGCACCCTTTACCCTTGTCTTCTGACACAGATGGCTCGAACAGCCAACACAGGGGCAAGGGCTTGTCTGTTGACTGAAGACAAGGGCAGTCTAATTAAGGTAAGAGTTCATTTAAAAAATAAAAAAAAACATTAAAAAAAATAAAGTGAATACATATTTAGTATTGCAATGGAATAAAAAATTTATCGAATAATTAATGTAATACAGTAGAATTCTGCGTGAAGGCATCCCACTGTAATACAAATTACCATACAACACTGTCATGGCATAGCTCCTGAAATTTCGTACATTCATTTACACACAAAAAGTTCTTGAAAAATAACATTAATAAATTTGTATTCTTGTACAAAACATTGACCAGTCCACTAAAACTTAAAACTAATCCATCTTCAACACCACATAGCTAACTCACCACAAGCAAAAAAATGAAATCAACTATCTTACTAATTTTTTTAAATCCTCACACTATTTGCATGGAATGTTATTAAAACCTTGTAATAACATGAACCAGCAGTTAACGAGATATGATTTTATGGACCCCCAATAATCTCTCAATAGCTTGTTTATACTTATCCAAAAAAAGGTATAAAATAAACCATTTCTACGTGCAGTGCCCGGAAGCTTGCTATTTCTAAATCTGGTTGTAGGAAACTCTTCAATATTTATGTGCAAATTTTAAAAGATATTTTTCTGTCACTTGCTTACAGGCCATCCAGACTTTGGGAAGGTACTGGCAACGACGGCTTGTTTTGAGCATCAACATTGGAGGGTTGTCAGGATTTGTCTTCCTTCTTACCCGAACCACTGCATCCATGACCTCAACAGCAGGTACCTGGCACCAATATCAGCATGAAACTGTGGATGATGTTGTGAAAAATACTAGTGTTGACCCACAAAGCAACTTTATCAAGGATGAATTTGGCTGTGGGGATAGTGTAATTTCTCCAACAACACTGCGCACGGATGCTGACGGAAGGGACACAGATTCTAGCAGTGAAGGAAGCAGAGTAGAGCCACCAAATCCATTCCAGTATGAAAGCAGTAGTGGAGAGACAGTCCTTCCCACTACTGCTGTAGATTCCTCTGATACCCTTAATCTTCAACGTACAGATGCAGATGGCAATACCTTTTGTGACTAATTATGATCAATCTTAAATCCATGCATTAGTTTTATTTCATCAAGTTAAAATTACTAATGCAAAATTGAGAGGGGTGGCGGCAATGTGCCTTATCATCCCAGTTTTTGTTTTGTTATTGTTGAATTTTTTTTTCTTTTTTACCAACAAGGATGTTTATCCGATGAGAAGGTATAAACCATATTTATTGTGTTTATTTTGTTAAAATTATTAATTCAAATTGTTTAAAAATATTAATTGCTACTTTTGAAATGTTAAATTTGTTTATTTCTCAAGGCAAATAAGCTAATAAGTATTGCAGTTATTCTTAATTTTTAAAAGTAGTGTTAAAGCTGAGTTTTCTGCACTGTCCTTACAATTAATAATTAAGTACATTTAAAATTTGTTCAATGCAATTTGATTTTTTACATTCTTTGATAATTCTTTTGATTCCAGTAATTTAACAGACTGTAGTGATCTGTGGAAATACTCAAATCTAGTCAAATTTTTAATTGAATGATGTTTGAAAGACACATTGTTGTTAACTGTTGCTTTAAACTTTAATGAGAATTACTCAAATTAGTTCAACTATTGTTTTGGGGGAAAAAACACCATTTTAAATAAAAATAATAATTTTTGTTGTGAAATATTTTTTTACCTTTTTGTTTTTACAATTTCTAAAACTAAAATATATGTTGTTGCATTTTCATGAAGAAAACTAATACAAAATAAGACTTAAACTAACTTAATTCAATAAAAAAAATAGTGACATTTTTATAACCAAGATTTTTATTGTTTCATCAAACATTTTTGACTTCCACAAATTTCATACCCGTTATCTTGCTTTCAAAGACATATTCTATTAGATTTATACAGAAGTCATAGACATCACATAAAAATTGATCCATTCTTAAAATTTTTGCTGAAACTTCAAAGAGGACATATCTATTATGACTTAATAACTTCATCAGTCACACATAATACACTTAAAGCTATATACATATGTTCAGAGTTGTATAACCACTTTATAGAGTTGGCAACGATTTAACAATTAAATTTATTTGGTTATTTATTTGGTTTCAAATATCATTTTAAAAAAATAATCATATGTTCCCCTTGTTGCACCTGTACATATTTGGACTCAACCCCCACCCTCGCATGTGTACAAATAGCTTCTCTCCCCTCCCCCTATAAAATGAAGCAGAAGGAAATTAAAGTCACCATAAAAAATGTTTTTAAAAATTATGTCCCATTATCTCCTACTAACTATATCTTTATTGACAATCTTTGATACAGCCTTGGAATACATAAACTTTTTAGTGTGAGAAACCATTTTCATGAATTATATGATTTTTGTTATATCTGCAAACATGCTATAATAAATTAGTATCAACAAAGAGAGGATAAATGTAAATAATCATTCTGTAGAGACCACCCTTAGACACCATAATGCACAAACATATAAATCAACAACCCTACCTCCTTAGTGTATACATGATGTGTGGATGGCCCCTTACCAGGCCCTACAACAATAATAACATGGAAAGGAAACTCCAATACTATGTAATAAACAATTCCATAATATTTCTCTAAAATAGAAATGTCTTATTGTTAAAAAAAAGTTCATTTGTAATTAATTATACTATACTTCTTTCTTTCTTTTTTTTTTTATTAGCTGTAAGTAAGTAAGGTTTATTTGGTGTTATAAGGAGTTGAATCCTCAGTCATCTAGTTCTTCTTCGTCACTAAAATATGCATCTTTTTTGTACTTTTTCCTTTTGGTTGTGGATTCCGAGCCAACTGATGTAACATCATGATTCATCATAGCTTGCTGAAGTAAAGAAATTATTTAACTGGTTTGTAAAAAGATATATAAATTCTAATTCTTTTCATAAACCACATAAAATATTAATGCAAATTTATTACGAATTGTAATTTTAAGTATTGTATCTAGATAAGTAGATTTGAAAACTTATGCAGGAGTATCTTGTCTGAAAATACCTGATATTTAATGGCCAAAGCAAGCGACTCTTCCATTGCTGATTTTGTGGCTGTATCTTCATCACTATCTTCATAGTCCTCACTAAGGGAGGTATTAAAGAAGGGAAAAAAGCATGACTTCTTGAACATAATTTTGACGGAAATTATTTCAATGTGATTACTATAGTAATTTGCTTCTCAGTTCAATTTAAGAGCATTTATTTATCCGAGTACGGTGCTACCCATTTAACATACTCTTGATGCATCAATTAGATGAAATCATAAAAAGCCTTTTTGTAGAGCTATAACTAAGAGGCTATTTTTTTTTCCCCCAAGCATTAAATAATAAAGGTATATTAATGTAATCCTTACTTTTGATCATCTTCATCATCATCACCCTTTCTTTTCTTTTTCTTCTTAGGGGGTGGTTCTCTTTCTCCTAATAAATTTTTGGGACATTTATAACTGAGATGACCCTCGTCCTAAAAGTATATGAAATACACATACAAAATTTAGCTCTGGTATTGAGTGTTAAGAAAAAAAAATTTTAAACGTTTAATTATAAAAAAAACCAGATAAATTAGTTAGGAGGGCAAACTAGTCTCCCCATGAGTCACATTGAAATCCGTAATAGAATGCATGTAATGACTGTCTGAATTTATTAAAAATGAACTTATTTTTTCAAACACACAAATAGTAGCCATTTAACTTTGGTTAGTAACACTACATAACAAATTAAATAAGTCTGTCACACCTAATAAAAATTATATTTTTAGGGGCTGTTCATAAAGGATGTCTGCAAATAAAAGGAAAGAGGGGGGGGGGGTTTTTTGTTCAAATATATTGTTCAAATATGTGTAATCCAGAAAGTTTAAAATATTTACATTGTGGATTCCTCTATTGCTGATCTATTTGCAAAATTAAATTAGGGTACCAAGAAGTTAGAAAAATTTCATGAGGGGATCACTCTGAAAATTTGGTTGCTATTTTTCAACAAATCTAAACTGCAAGTTTGTGCTTTTTGAAATTTTCTCAATCTCTCTTTTCCAGTTGACTTTAAGCTAATGATTTATTTTATTAGACTTATTTAGAAGTTAAAATCTGGTCCCTTTGCTCTTTATAATAGTTAGGCTATACTTCCTGGAATTTTGCACTGCACAATGCTGTATGACTGTAGGGGGTATAAGCCACATGCAGTGAAGTGTGGACAAGTGGGAGGGAGTGGGAAGAGATTTTTTTTAAAATATCCTTTGTGAACAATGCCTTACCGTGAAGGCAATACAATTAACATTATGTACAAGTAACAGTTTACTTATTTTTTCCCATGTCAAAAAAAAAAACCACAGTGATAAAGTAACTTGTCTTATTTGTTTTTAAAATCACACAACTCCTTTTTATGTTTAAATAAAATAATCTAATTAAAATACTCCAATATTTAAAAGACCCATAATGAAAACGGGATTTTGCATCAAACCTTTTTTATTTAACTTACTCCACATTCATAACATCTTGATTTGTCCACATATTCCCTCCGTCTGATGAACTCTGGTGCTCTACCATTGTCTTTGGCAATGCTGCAAGATATAGTCCGATCAAACATCTGAGAATGAGATAACGTCTGATTAAGCCATTTCTAATTAGGAAATTGGAAAAAAATATCATAGGAGATAAACCTTCTTCACAATTTTGGCGGTAGCCTTCAATTATTACAACCACATAGCTGAACAATATTGCTTCTAAACAAATGGGCAGTTTAACCAAAGACTTGCATATCACTAACTCTAAATTCCACGCAACTCTGTATTGTCATTACTGGATAGCTGCCTAGTAATTGGTGCAACCTTAATGCATATCTATATATTCAGGAGCTAGTGCAAGAACATAATTTGGTTAAGACCTAGAGTATATTATTTTTAATGCAGAACAATAAAGATCTAAATAATAATAATTTTTTTAAGAATCAGTACAATCAAGTGAACTTTCCAAATCAATGCCTCACTGACTGTTTTAACAGTATAATATAAAGAATTTTCAACCTTAGTATTATGTAAAGCTCTGACAGCTGTATATGCTCCATCTCTTTCCAGAAACAAAACAAATGCAACTCCTTTACTTTTTCGTGTATTCTTGTCTCTCATAACTGTAACCCTAAAATTTAAAATAACAATTGCTGTTAATTAATGTATGTGATGAGTTGTTCATTTCTTGATGATTACATTATACATTACCTTGTACAAAATTATAATTAATTATTCGATATAATTTTTGTTAATTTCTAATGCCCCTCCACAATTAATAATAATAATAATAATAAGTGGTCTTATATAGCGCGGTACCCCGGCCTAGGGCTGGGCTCACCGCGCTGTACATATATAGCAAAGAGGCATAATCATAATATTAAAATAAAATACATAAATGAAATAAAAACAACATATAAGCAAAACAACACCATAGGTATATTCATCCACCCACACCAGACATTTTTACAAGGAAACCCATGTACGTTTATCGGTTTATAGGAGGAGAATCAGTCAGAGTAGTATAGTTTAAATAGATGTGTTTTGAGTGCAGTTTTGAAGGCCTGTGTGGTTGTTATATTGCGGATGTGTAGTGGCAAAGAATTCCATTGTTTGGGGGCGCAGAAAGAGAAAGATCGTTCACCATATAATTTAGTGCGTGTCTTGGGAACGGACAGAATACGCGAGTCTGCGGAGGAGCGAAGTTGTCGAAGGGGTGAATAGACAGAAAGAAGTTCAGTTAGATAGGAAGGGCAGGAATCCGAGAAAAAGTTGTGACAGAGAAGAGACAGCTTGTAGTCAATGCGTGCCTGTATAGGGAGCCAATGTAGTGAGTGGAGTAGTGGAGTGACGTGATCGCGTTTTTTTGCCTTAAGAACAAGCCTAGCAGCAGAGTTTTGAACTTTCTGCAGTTTTTCTATAAAATGTTTCGGTGAACCTGACAGAAGTGAGTTGCAATAGTCAAGACGAGAGAGAACAAGAGCACAGACTAGAGTTTTTGTTGCGCTAACTGTCAGGTAGTGGCGGATGGAGCTGATCTGACGGATGGCGGTGTATGCCGAACGACAAATGTGAGAGATATGTTTATCGAGAGACATGTTGTTAGAAAGAATATAACCAAGATTCCTAGCAGAGGGTGTAAACTGTATGTCGGAGTTACCTACTTGAAATGAGGTGGGAAGAGTTGAGGTAGAGGATGATTTGTGATTGTAAATGAGGAGTGCTTCTGTTTTGTCATCATTAAGCTTCAACTTGCTGAGTGTCATCCAAGACTTGACATCATCAATGCACCCCCGCAAAGTCTGGACAGCGGAATCGACAAGAGATGGATGGGTATGCATGTATAGCTGTGTATCATCTGCAAATGACTGGTTCTCAACAGCATGCCTCCCGAGCAAGAGGAGTAGTGGTCTGGTATACATTATGAATAGAACCGGACCCAAAACGGACCCCTGTGGCACTCCGTACACCAAATCAGCACTGCCGGAGAGACAGCCATCGACAGAGACCATTTGCGTTCTATCAGAGAGGTAGGACCTAAACCAAGCCAAAACCGAACCAGAAATTCCAAAGTAGTTTTCAAGGGTTTTGAAAAGGATTTCATGGTCAACAGTGTCAAAGGCCGCACTGAGGTCTAAGAGGATCAAAATGGAGACATTACCGCTGTCCATTGCGCGCAAGAGGTCATTACTGACTCTCAAGAGAGCTGTCTCCGTGCTATGGAAATGTCTATAGGCCGACTGATTAGAACTGAGAAGAGAGTGATCATTTAAGTAAGCAAAAAGTTGTTTTAGGACTAGTTTTTCAATAACTTTAGATAAAAATGATAAGTTAGATACAGGTCTATAGTTTTTTAAATTATTTTCATCCAGACCGGGCTTCTTAAGCAATGGTTTGATGACAGCTGATTTGCAAAGAGGCGGAACAGTGCCAGAATATAAGCTTTCATTTATTATGCGGGTTATTGTTGGGAGCAAGATATCTAATGACTCAACCAACAGGGGGGTTGGGATGGGATCCAAATAACATGACGTATGTTTAGATTTTAGGATTATATTTTTTACCTCAAGTTCTGAAACAGGTTTAAAAATATTAAAATGGGAAGTAAGACAAGGGAAAGGAGGCAATTCAAGGGGAGGGGCATCAAGACGATCAAGCTCAGCTCGAATGTCAGCTACTTTGCTTGTAAAGAAATTACAGAAAATATCTGGTTGCTTGGGCAGGGGAAACACCGAAGGAAGCGCAGTTCCTTTGTTACTCCCCCTAAGGTGACCACAAACATCAAACAACTGCCTGCTGGTTTTACCCATAGTTATCTTTTGGCTAAAATACGTAGTCTTTGCACGACAAACAATCTGATTGACACGCTTCTTGACAGCGTAAAATATCTGCTTAAAAACCACAAGACCTGACCGTAACCACTTCTTTTCTGCACTACGGCGCTCTTTCTTGGCACTGCGTAGTTCCTCCTTGATGGTCGCATACCAGGGAGAGGCAATACTGTTTATGCAAAGAACTGACCAACTCAGCATGGAAGAACAGAGCTTGCCAACAGGCACACTGAATCTTCAAATTTAAAATAATTTGAATACACTCTTAATTCTCTCTCTGCTCTAGACCAAGGGTTCGGAAAACAACAGCCCTATGCTCAAGTAAATGGAATTTATATTTACAATTCCTTGACAAATTTCATGCACTACAAACATTCCCTTTTCTTTGTACAATACTTGAATTGATGGCCTAGGTTGTGATGACCAGCCCTTATCAATCCCCAGCAAATCCAGTTAGAGTTAGATAGATTTTAATCTTTATGACAATCTATTAAAAATTAATTGTACCATTTACAGATATGTACATTTCCACTCTAACCAACAGTTAACACCCACCCCTAATCACAAAAAAACTCCAATGTTAACATGTACAGGGATTATATAGATAATATATGATTAAATGACAATCAATAGCTAGGTATGATCACAAACCTGACAACTTTACCATACTTCTCAAAAATCTTGTGCAGGTCATTATTTGTTAATGAAAATGGAAGATTGGAGACATAGACTGTACTTTTGCTGGGGGCCAACTTATTTGAAGTGCCAACTTGACTTTGATTACTCATAATTCTGAAAATGCTGCCATGTACTGAAAAAAATGCATTATAGGACTGTCTAAGTTTCTTAAGTCTTCTATTACTATTACTATTAGACTAGTTCTGTGGAAAAAGAAATTCAGGCAAATTATTTTTATTTAATATTTATGTAGGCCTAATTTAATTAATAAGTTACTAATTTAGGAAAAAATGTAAGTATTTGGTTTCTTAAATAGAACTGTAAGGGCTCAGAGAACTTATTTATTGGTTAGGCTTAACTGACTGTAACATAACTCAAATTGAATATGGAATGAGTGTGAGGTGTGTGTTCTTTTACTGTAAGCCTCCTCAGTTTTAGTGTTTTAATAACCTTTTTTCTTGTCCTAGACTAAATTTACCTTTGCCCTAATTAATTTTATGACAATAAATGAGAAATTATTAGCCTAATATTTTTCATTCATTTATTAATGATTGATTCATTTTTAATCTAAAAAAAAAGTAGAAAATAGCTGTAACTGTAAATAAATTATATTAACAAATAAATTAAAATTTATAACAGAAGTCGGAGAAGTTGATGTTTGAAATATTAAGTATATGATCTATGCAGCTTATGATACTCATAGATCATAGTATAGAGTATGACTTAGAGATATCATTTCCTTATGAGTTATTTACTAAGTATCTTACAAGTATCTTACTTTTTATGCTTAAAGAAATTTCATTTAGCTTAATTTCTTATAAATTAATATTTCACCAAGACCAATAAATAAAATTCTCACCAATAGGATTGTAACCTAGCCCTACTCATCTTTTGTTTTTGACAATTTTAATGTTAATTAATTAAAATATAACGATAATTAGCTTAATAATAACATTAGGCATGATTAGGCTAGGCCTAATTACTAATACTAATACTACTTTTTTTATATGGCCTACTGAAGAATTAATTTTTATTTTGAATAGTATTATATAACACTAATATAGTCTATAAATCAAATATGTGTATCTAGAACTAGTCACAGTTTTTACAGAATCAGTAGTAACTAGTAATAGTACAAAGTAGTATGATTTCCCATCCATCATATTCTAAATATTGAATATACATATCAGTATCAGCTAATTTTTTCTTGTCTGTCTTTTGCCGTCCTAAGTCTAAGTTTCTTAATCAAAATTTTTGTATTGTCCTTCTTCAGGTTTTTCTCTACACACTGACACAGTCTACACTGAAATTTATTATTACTTCAACGTGAATGATGTGAATGCAGTCCTCCCATATTACTTTACTAATTAAATATAGACTATAGATATTAAAAGGTCTCTGGCGCCTTGAGTCTGGGCTCTAACTTACTCTTACTAAACTCTAAGTAAAAAGTATAGTATAATTTACTCATGTGTATGTCAGATGTAGGCTATATATTTGAATTTGAGTTTACAATATTAATAGTATAGGAAAGTGTTCTAAGTTAAGTTTACTAAGACGACTAAGTCCTGACGTAAGCCGGCTATGTAAAAGTGCCTTTTTTAAAGCCTAAACCCAAGACTCACTTTGGCTAAAAGGAAGATAGGATGCTACGACTTCTTATGTGTGTTTATTAAAGTTGCAGTGAATTAGGGTTCAGGTTAGGTTTAGGGATAAATTTAGGGTTCAGGTTAGGTTTACCGTTTAGGGATACATTTCATTTAGGGTTCAGGATAGGTTTAGGGATACATTTAGGGTTCAGGTTAGGGATACATTTACTTAGATTTAGTGACAGAATTAACTGGTCTTGTCAACCAAGATGGCGGCCATGTTGAAAATCATGGCATCCTATCTTCCATATTATTCTAACTTTAACGACCATGTTAGTATATTTAAGTATATTGTTAGCCTGAGAGTCAAGGCCAAGGCTTACTAAACTAACAACTTTGACTAAGAGTACTTATCAAGACTTATGACTAAAAGTTACTATAATAAGTACCAGAGTGAGTCTAACTTGCTCTTGCCAAGAGTAAGAATAGTAAGAATCTAAAAATATGCGGAAATAGTATTACTAATACTATTAGTAATACTAATAATTAGTTAGTGTAAGTTAGACAGTTAGGCTGATTAGTACTACTATCACTAGTCGTAGTAGACGTAAGTAGAAATAGAAAGAAGTGTAAAAGATGTCTAAGATAATATTACTAAGAGTAAGAATGTAAATTTTAAATTTGAACTCAGATCAATCAATCATTCAATCAAAATCAATGAATCAACAACAATAACAATGTCATGTCAATGCAATGCTGCTAAGTCACAAGTGCTAAGTTAAGCAAAATTAACACCTAAACTAATTGATATGCTATATCTATCATTTAGTTAATTACGAATGTAAAAGATGATATAAAGGCTACCGATATAAATTTTATTAAAATGGCTTGGGTGTATTGTAATTATTTAAATAATTAGTTACAACTCTTTTGGTTCCTATATCAGAATATCAACTTTCGGTTTTGTTATTACTATTACGGAAGTTATCCGTATTTATCACTTAAAGTTATCTACCCTTAGCTTGCAATACCAGATAGTTCAGTCGTAAAAAAAAAAAAAGTTTATTAATGAATTAAAATATTTAATCTTAAAGACTTTAGCGTCTAATCATCCCAAACATTTTTAATAAATTATCTATCAGTTTATGACTACATTTATGATCTACTTTTAACGAAAAAAGTTGTTAACACATTGTTCCTAATTGGCTTTTAACTTTGGAGAAATGTGGCCCAGTATGCTCTGAGGTCACCAGTTACCACATTTTGTAAGTTTCTAGGAGAAGGACATGGAAGATTACGCACGTGAACCATGGTAATAGATTGACAGTTATTATTAGTATTGAGTGTATATATAATTTAAGCAAAATGGCAGAACCTATATTGTATTCGAAATTGTTAATTTTACTTGAAAAATAAATACATCTGTAATTGCGTCATACTCGACTGACCACTACTAAGAAGTTACTTTAATTAATTTTATAATATTAAGTCTATGTCTATCATTTTCATAATCTCATATCATAATGATTTGAATGATAGTCCTAGTGGCTACCATTTAAATAGCAATTCCAACCGTAACAATTCAATTGTGTTCATAACTTAATGCTTTAGTAGTAGATAACCAATTGTTTTATTAGTTTTACATAAGAAAGATGAAAGAGACAACTAAAAAATAGGTACTCCGTATTGCCAGGAAACACCCGAAAAATCAGGTTTCATAATTTATCATTTATGGGGAAGCGTTATACGCAGTCGGCTGCGCATAACCCTGAGGGTTATTCCCAGCCGACTGCGTATAACTCTCAGGGTTATACGCAGTCGGCTAGGAATTTAGCCAAATAAGGTTTATCAATCGCTTGTTTGGCAAATTTTAAAAAAAAGTATTATGCGTAATTAGCTGCATGACGGGTTGTTTTGTACTATTACTTTTAATGTGTTAAAATTGAATTAATTTTAATTAATATTGAAATTGATGATAGCAATAGTATTAGTGCTATTATTAGTATTATTGCTTGTATCTTATTAGGTACTTTGACACAAAATTTAAATATTGTCTGAGTGTAATGATTAATACACCATTTTAAAGGGCTACCTATAAGCTTTTTAACAACACCAATTTCATCATTCTATCTTTTATAGAACTGGAGTTATGTTTTTTTTTGTCGAATTTTTTATGCCCCTATATAAGCTATATATGCGGCCAAAAAAACTTGTGACCCACTTTTAATTTTTTTCCACTTTTTTCCACATAAATTTTTTATTTTTCGAAATAATGATACCAAATTTTCAGTACATATTCTCAGTGCAATATACAATGCAATGAACAACAAAATTTTGCCATTATAAAATAAATATTTATTTTTAAAAATGATTATGCAAGGAAAGTAACAAAAAAAATATATATTTTTTTTTAAATTTTAATAATTTTTACATGAAAAAAAAAATGCAGGTTTATTCCATTGGCAAGTAATAACATCAAATAAAATTTTAATTATAGTTATTTTATGTTCTGTTGGGAACTTGAAAATACCTGAAAAGAAAAATTATTAAAAAGTAAAAAAAAAAAAGTAAAATTTTATTTTATTTTTTTAAATTTTAATAATTTTTTCATTAAAAACAAAAAAATTGCAGGTTTATTCCATTGGCAAGTAATAACATCAAATAAAATTTTAGTTATAGTTATTTTATTTTCTGTAGGGAACTTGAAAATGCCTGAAAAGAAAAATTATTAAAATTTTATTATTTTTTAAAATCAATGGTCCACAAAATAAACTAATTACATGAAATAAAGAAAGAAATCAGTGCTACTACTTATTTGATGGGACTCTGAAAACATCCTGAAAAGAGATATAGAAATTTTATTAATTAAATTATTCAAATATTGAGTCAAAAGACAACAACATGGGACATGGTTAATGGTAAGTTTGTAAATAAATTACTGACAATAAAGGTTAAACCAATACTAATAATATTTACCTGTATGTGGTTCCTTCTGCTCAGAAGACTGCACTTCTCCATATTGGTTGTTGATGCTCCCAGTTATCGTTCCAAGTGCAGCACCTTGGTCTTCAGTGTTGTCTTCTCTCGCTTTAGTGTCTCAACCCTTACCGTCTTCCTCTTTATGGTCTGAGTCCACACTTTCATCTCAGGGGACCTGTGAAGTGACTTAGCATTTAATTTACATTTAACAACCTTCACCTTATTTAAAAAAAACTGGCACCAGGCTGTACACCCTTGCCTTATGGAGTGGCATTGATTACAATCAGTGCGCAACTTCTTAAGTGTTGGTGGAGCCTTTAATTCCTGCTGAGCTACCTGTGGAAGAAACATTTCATCTGTTAATGGAGTTGCAGCATCAGAAGAGCTGGAAGGCACAATCTTTTTTCCTTGGAAACTGGCGCACTAAAAGGCTGAAACAAAAGATCCTGGATTCTCATCCATTTTAGAGTGAAATGCTTTTTTAAAGATAAGATATCGGTAAACAATTTTTGACACTTAGTACATATTCCATTCTTATTTGACACATAGTTGAGATCTTTCTTAATAAAGACCTCATCAAGTGCAGACACTGCAGCAATCATGCCCTCTTTCTTGTTGGCACAGGTGGTATAGAAATAGAATCCGTAGCCATTCTTATACATGCCAGTGGCTACATCTTGGGCAAAGCTTGCCACCAAATGATCAAAATCCTGAAGGGTAACAGTTACAGACATTCTTGATTTCGCTGGGGAAAAAATCAAAAGAAAATATAGCAATAATTTTACTTTCAATTTTGCGTAATTTATAATATAAATCATAACAATTATTATTATTAATTAATATTTTCAAAATGTTACATTACTACATTTTTACTATACTATACTATAAAAAGATTATTCTTAAAATTACATTTCATATTTTATTTATTTATTTATGACTTGTCTGGTCTTTAACTAAGTTAACTAAGCCTAATATCATGTTAATGTTTATTTATTACTTATACTTAGTTAAATTTATTACTATTTAACTAACTATTTTTATTGTATTTTGCATTTTAATTATTAATATACAATTCTCGGCCTTTAAATTTAAAAAAAAAAAAAAAAAAAAAAACAAGCTTCATCAATCAATGGAATTTTTATAATTTTAATCATCATATCAGTTTCTGTAATATTTTATAATACTTTTACTAATTACTAATTTTATTAGATTTATTTCGACGTTCAAAGATTACTAATGATCTAAAGTAATAAAACTATCTTATTGATAATTAAAAGTATTAAATTATGGTCCCACATTGTTAGATGATTATGGTAAAAATATTTTTATAGAGAAATATAGGACATGGTTAAATTGGAATAATATTATTAATTATATAATAGTAATATTATTAATTTTATTAGTAATAAAGTAAAGCAATGCTCATTATTATTGTGTTATTATATTATTACATTACATCTCTGTAGTTTATATTTAATTGATAAGACAAGAATAGCCCTTTCCGATAACCCATTTTTTTTTTAAAGGGGGGTTACCACTGATATATTTTAATTTTCTTACACATTTAAAAATTTTTTTTTGAAAATTCATAACTTTTTGTTGCAATAACCTATCATTACAAAGTAAAGTTATTATTTTGTGGGAAGGATCACAGCATTGGTACAGGTAAACAACTTTGTTGTACGAATTTACACAAAAAAGTAATAAGCTATTAAGTACATACCTCTGTATGAAATGAAACGCGTTGCCGGTCACAATGTTTACAATGTGGTAAAATGGTACCAGCTTGCTCAGAAAAATATGCGCTCTACGTCACTGATGACTAAATAATTTATTATTAGAAAACTGTGACGTGAAACGCAAAAAAACGAAAGCCTCGCCAAGCCGTCTGTTATATTGCCACAAGAGTTTTCCGTCAGTTTTCGGTCATGCGCAAACGGTATGCGCGAGAGGGTATCGATATACCTAATCTTATATATTATAATTATAAGTATAAGTCAAATTCTACATTTGTTAGATAGAGTCTAAGTCTAAGATTTTTTAAAAGGCATTTCCATGGTCTAAGTCTAGTTATGTATTTTGATTGATTAGGTTTTTATATGTTGCTATGACCATGTGGTTAGTTTTACTAACTAATTCAGGAAATACATTCTATCTATTTTTTAAAATTTTTTATCATTTATGATTTTTTTTTTTTTTTGATGACCTAAATGTAACAGTTTTCAGCTTCCATGCAAAACTATAACTGTGTGAAAATATTACTTACAGTGCCCTCTCTACAGAACCCCCTGCCCCTACAGCGATTTTTTTACTGCTACTCTCTACCCATGATTATATTTATTACTGTACCAGAGAAACATGATTTTATCTGCCACAAAATTAGCTAACAAGTTTTAACATTTTTTAGCCAAAACAAAAGTAAGTTGCCTAGTTGTTTTTGCTTCATTCTCGAGAACAAACATAGCATCTAACACGTATTCTTGGCTTGCCGTTGGCTGGAATTGAACTCAAGAAACTGAGGTTTGGTCAGTTTGTACCATTCGACCACCCAGTCACCGCAACACGAGGCACCCTTATTGATTGATACTGTAAAACAGGAAGAATATAGACATCACGTGACTTGCCGACTGCGTATAACTCTCAGGGTTATACGCAGTCAGCTGCGCATAACCACTTCGTAATTTATGGCTAAGGCTAATGTGAAGAGAAGCACCCTGACGTCATTACGAGTCAGTTCAGGCCAACCGGTCTAAGTAGTAGTTTTACTGATTATCCGAATGTAACAATAACAAGCTGTGGAAGTGCATTGTACATATTGGGGGCATTTCTCCATGCTATAAATTCCAACATTGACCATTAATAATAAATACATTCAATTATTACCTATTGCGACACTCGGTTTTGAAAAAGCTGTTGTTGTTCGCAATGGTGTCCCAACTTTTAATTCTTTTGAAAAGCATAACATGCATGCATTTGACTTCGTAAACCAAATATAAGGATGACTTACTGTGTGCTAAGCCCACAGTTTGCAAAAAAAAATGTCCCAGTGCATTTACTGCAACTCATATTGTACAGATGGCATTTCCTTGAGTCACCATCATGTGACAACATTATGAGATTAAAGAACTGGTATTATTGGTACGTTGACAGTTATCGCAGTCATGTTCAGTAAGCTAACTAACCATCTAAATAAAAGATAACTGAAGAACTGCATTCAAGCTGTATGAAGGAAATAGTGGAACAAGGTATGTGGAAGCTTGAAAAGACATGATAATAAAAAGAGAAAGAGAAAACACATCTTATGACCAGGAGAGCTGCCATGCTGAAATACTTGTATAGTCAATAAATTAATAGGACTCGAAATCCACAGTTTCTTCCGTTTGGTCATCTTTGGACTCGAATTGCAAGTATTATATACAGTACACAGTCATTGATTGGTGTTTTTATAAGCTACACCTGTCACTATTCACTTATGACTTATTCACTACCTAGACCTGCCTACTTAGTTACTTCTTTACTTTCCCAAATTTGTACTTTCCCAAAGGCTGTATAAGAGGCTACCATAAATAAAATAATCAATATTAGCAAGTAACAGCTACTACACATGTTTTTAATTATTAGTACAATTACCTGAGATGACAGGATTATGATCAAATGTGACATCGTCTTCTAAAAAACACGAGAGTGACTTTTGGCCGTGGCGTGAACCTAACACTCTAACATTTGTAAATACTCTTGAAGGCTCTAATTTACTGCTTTGGATACTGTTGTCAGTGTGATGTACTGTTTACACAATAAATGCAGTATTAAAATCAATGGATTTTCTAATTTTTCTGTGGAATGATAAATTATTAATATCTAGTAAAATATATAGTGCTGCTGAGAGTAGATAAGCCTAGATATTCATCAATATTTGTGATGAGCTCAAAGTTTGCCTATAAAGTTAATGTCTGAAAACAAAAGTGATTTTCTAATTACAAAATGTTGGAATCCTTATGACTATGATGATTATTTAACTCATTCTTATTAGTCTACATCTATTTTCTATTGTTACCAAATCTCATGTTAATATTTTTCTCATATTTTTAGTCCATGGCGCATCATGGAAGATTGTGGTGGAGCTTTCTCCATGGGGGCCATAGGAGGATCATTGTTTCATGGTATTAAAGGTTTCAGAAATGCTCCAAGTGTAAGTATTTATTTTTACAGGTCCTCTGTCGGAAAAGTATTTTTCAATAAAATTATTACCTTATAGATCTATAGAATTAGAATTAATATATGATTAGACTGTTTGTCATTATTTAATCCCACAATATTTAAAATACCTACTTAAAAGTTCTAAATATTATCAGTATTTTAAAATTATCTCTAATTATGTAAAATTAGTTATTTTAACATCATCGAAATTAATATAGTTTTGTTTCCACAGGGTAACTACAGACGTTTAATCAGTAGTTTTGTTACACTTAAAGAGAGAGCTCCAATAGTTGGAGGTTGGTAAATCAATCCTACATTTGAAAATTAGGCTCTTTTGAGCAAGATTAATGAAGAAAGTGCATGATCTGATATGACTTTTTTTTTAAAGCTCATATACTGTTTAATAAAGTACCCTGCGATGCAATTTTTTGGGGCTTTTGGTATGGTAATTAAATTATTTGATGTACAGTCAAACCAGCTTATATCGACCTCGGTTAACTCGCTAACCCTATCATGTCGACGTTTTTGAAGTGGAACTGCCCAATTCTCTCTTTGTCTTAGCATTTTCCCCTTGGTTATTTCGATTCTTTTATGTCGCCGAACCCTGGTATCTCTAGCACAAAAGGCGGTCAAATTTGCCACTTTGCGTCAGTTATTTTGATCCCCTGAATGATCACCGGCTTTTGAAATCCACAAGTAGAAATTGCAAACAACAAACAAACAAGTTTTGCATAATTAAAAATAATTATTTATTTCTGAAAATACAGGAGTGAAAGAGTGCTTGATTTTTTTGGGACACACTCCCCACCCCCTAAACTCGTACGTACAAGGAGCTTTTAGCCCCATCCCTATAAAAAAAAACCAAAGACATCAAACAATATTATGGGTAATTGTGATGTCACAGGATAATTTTTTGTTTGTTTTTTAAAAAATGAATCGGGTGTTTATACAGCCGGCAATTTGGCCAGCCCAGTGGTCCCCATATTATGCGTCGCTCTGGGTGCGAAGTTGCCCTCAGTCAGGCAGGGCTATGAGAATGGGGCAAAGAGGGCAGTCACAGCGGGAACCAAATTATATATCAAAACAATCCAAAATATAAACAATCAACACTCCCAACCCCTCAGTGGGCCGCAGTTAAATATCAAATGTTGACCGGTCCGCGGCAATAAAAAGTTTGGGGACCACTGATCTAGATCATCGGTTATTTCATCGCTTTATGGCAAACCCCTAGGCCGTCGACATCGCCAGGTTCTACTGTATTTACATCAGATAGACAAAAAGCCATAGATTTGGTGGGTATGAAAGGATGTGGTTATGGACTGTAGCACTGGTGAGGATGATGATCTAAAATAATATAATTTTAAGATTTAATGATTGTGCAATTTTTTTATGATAAAACAGGACATATTGCAGATCTGAAAACTTATTGTATTAAAAACTTGGAATACATTTTATTAGCAACATCTTACTAATTGTAATATTCGATTACCACATAATTTTAAAAAAAAAAACCTTTCTCATTAAAACAAAGCAAAAGAATGAAGCACCTATTCCCATAAAACATGTTGAATGGGACATCTCTTTGATTTTCTAAAATAAAAGCATAAGTTTGATGTAATTTTTCATGTTGTAAACTACAGTTTTGTATCCTTATCCTTAAATATTTAATAAATTGTAAACATTAATTATTGAAAAATCTTTGTCAATGGTGCGTTGTTTAGCTTATTTTATTATTATCTCAGGAAACTTTGCTGTGTGGGGTGGTCTATTTTCTGCCATTGATTGTACAATGGTGTACATGAGAAAAAAGGAAGATCCTTGGAATTCCATCACAAGTGGAGCCCTTACTGGTGCAATCCTCTCAGTTAGAAGTGAGTATTTATGTGCCAGACAGGTAGGTAAATTGTAATCTTTTCTATAAAATGTACACTTTTACTGCGTCATTTCAAACAATATGTGATTGAGTGACAAACGTAAGTCCTTATCAATAGATATATTGCATATTTGACAACTAGATGTCAAAACTGAATTTTGCTGCTGATCTTGTTCAACAGTATTTCATTTGTCTTTATAAATGTCACAACAAGAGTTAATGAGTTTACTTAATTGTCCAAATTTGGTATTCCTCTTACAGAAGAGTGCACTATTAAATTAAATATGAATATCAGTCTGTTGTCTATTTAATTATTTTGCGTTGCAAGTAAACTTCAAAGTTTATCTAATTTTTTCACAAACATAAATATAATTGGCTGTGTCCTCCAGGGTTTAATGAAAGCAAATCTCAATATGTTTATCATCTTTAATTTCAGATGGAACAGGGGCCATCATTGGGTCTGCAATTATCGGTGAGGCATTTAAGAAATTTACTTATGTATGGGAATGCGACAATCATGTATCATATCATCAACTGTTTTTCTTTTACTTAAATTTTTTTATTTAAAAATATGTCAGTGTTGTTGATTGATATATTATCTTTGTGATAGATATATTATGAAATGTAACTGTGTGCATGATCCACTTTTTTTAACATTACATGGAGTAAAACGTAAACCAAATTAGTGGAAATATTTTTGCTAATTATTTTGTACCCCACAGGTGGTGTTTTACTTGCCCTTATTGAAGGTTTTGGAATTATGTTCACAAGATTTACAGCGGAACAATTTAACCCTGGTGAGTCAAGTATAATTTGGAAATATTTAATAATACACTTTAGGAAAGATTAAGCTCAAAATTTTTTAGTTTGCAGTGCTTTTAATGACTATGGTATCAATTGTGTTAACAAATTGAAAAATGTAAATGTTATTTTATTGTTTTAGTCCATTTTTATGTAAGTAGTTGAATTATTAACGTTACGCAGACCTGCCAACCCTTCCGATTTTATCGGAATTATACAGATTTTTTATCCATCATTCCGACCTTCCGACAAACCCCTTAAAATTCTGATTTTCCGAGCCTTACTATTTTTCACCCGTAATAAAAATCCAAAAGCAAAAAAAAAAAAATTTTTTTAATCGGGTATGACAGGAGGTGGGGCATTCGGATGATGCCACTTCCTTTGTTTTTACGAAGTGTCAACATGTCCGTCGACCGGACGAATATGTTCTCGAGATATTCGTCTGGCTATTATATATTCAACCAAGTCACATGACCGCTGTAACAAAGTTGCGTGAGATATATGTCCGCCAGCCTTGTACAGTGACCTCTAATGGTTGATCAGACTTTATGGTACTTCATTTCAACAAATTCAAGATAGTCTGGATATTTACATGAAAAAGAAATATGTTCAATTCAAAGAAATACTGGAACCATTTCTGGTATATATATAATGAACAAATGGTTAAAAGTGTTAAATAAAACTTTACATGCCTGCCGGATGAATATCTCCCACACTATTTGTCTGCACTAAACAAAACATACAACTTCAGATAAAAGCAGTGAATCTACGACATCCATGTCTAATTTCTTTGCTAAGGCTTCCGACGATTCAGTTATCATATTGGAAGTTTACCACCTTTCTTATTGAAAGAATTATTGCTTTAGCCAACTCTGATCATTTTAATGCCAGAATCAAAGAAATGTTTCCAGAGTCACAGATTACTAGAAGATTGTGAAGAAAAAAATACATTGAAACAAGGGCAAGCATGAAAATTAATACGCTTTCTAACTTGCTTGTAACTAAAATCAATTGCAATGCTAACCTTCAGTTGTCCAAAGAGCTGTTGGACAAGTGCAAAAAGACCACTAGGGATATGCTGGAAAAATGAAATCTCAGCAGCCTTTGTACATATGTATATATAAAAGTGAGAGTTTGTTTGTGGCTGGCTGGATTTGTTCCACATACTTTTTTACATGGATTGATGGATCTTGACCAAACTTGGCACATATATCCATCATTATCCGGAAGGAACTCTTAAGGGGTTATGAACTTTTTTTATTACATTACTTTTGGGGCTGGGGCCCCGAATTTGTTTTTTTTTCTATATGAGCTATATAAAAAGTTTTAGAAACAAGTACTCCTGCAGGAATAGATTGATACTGACCAAACTTAGCACACATACACTTGATTATCCATACTCAAATTCTGAAGGGTACTGAATTCATAATATCCAATCCATGCAGGGCCGATCTAGTATGTAAATAAAATGGATATAATGTTCTGTCTATAAACATATCCATTAATGATTTTCTCATGTTCTGTTGACTCTTCAAAGACAATTAAGGTAACTTTATATTTATTAATTTACAAAAGAAGGCTTGTGCATTAGTATGTAGAACTTAAACCAACGCCCGCGCCCCCCCCCCCCCCCCCCCCCCCCTTTACAGATATATTTTGTTGGCAGGTCTGATTACCACTTTTCTAACTTTATTAACTAATTATTAAGTAAATTATCTATCATAGTGAGATCACTTAGATAATACTTCTTTTGTATGTTAATTACATGTTTATACCTTGCAGCCAATCGTATGATGGAAGAAGATCCTGCCCTCTCTGGGCAACAGTACCCTACAGTAGGTTCTATAGGTGCACAAGATGGTAGCTCAATATTTGGCTCTCAACACTCATATCAGTAGCAGAGTAATTTAAGTATGTAAATAAAAAAAAATTAAAATATGTGAAAGAACATAGGTTTTGCCCAGCACAGCAAAGTTTCCCTGTACAGTATGTTGGACTGTTGGTCATCATGAACATCCTATGCTCTACACTGTTGTATGTAATGTACAACGTCTGATATTTTAATTCTAAATTCAGAAGCTTTGAAGTCTAAGCAAGCTATATCAACGTCTTGTAGTTAAAACATTGATTGTCATTTCTCTTTTATGAAGCACATCTTCATAATGGTAGTGGTGACCTTTTACATAAGTTATAGAGGACACGCTCTCGAGTATTCTCCTCAAATTAATTAGTTTTCAGAGAAAAAAATATTTTTTAAAATGTTAAATCTGCTTCCAGAAGATACCACATTAGTTTCTCTAAATATAACAAATTTTAGTCAGCAGTGTTTGGCTTTTGTTGTAAATTTTTTTTTTTGATCAAAACTGTTTTTTTTTTCTTTGTTTTTTTTTTTTTTTAATGTTGTTTGTGATTATAATTTTTTCATTTTTTTTATTTTTTGTTTTTTTTTTCTGAAAACTTATTCATTTAAAATAAACCTGGTGATTATTTTCTGTCACCTTGTTGTTTTAAAAAAAAAAAAAAAGAATACATACATTCATAATGTTGCATTATGTGGTCATGTTTTTTTTTATTCAAATCACCTGACATCGGTAAAATGTTTTGTAATATGGAAAAGCAATTCATTTAAAGGAAAGAGTTTAAATCTCAAACATTGGGTTTAATGACAAATAGGGTCTTAAAGTGCTTAGGGTTCATTTGGATCATTTTTACTCATGTGCAATTTGTATTGCAGGCCCTATGCTAATTTTCCCAAAGCATTTTACTATAAATAAATGTTAAATATTTTTAACTGTCAAGTCAAATATGTATCACACTGTACATAATCTCCATTAAAGCATTTCTATTTAAAACATCTTTGTTATTAGATTTATTTTTGAAAATGTGTATCTTTTTAACAAAAATGTTTATGTTTGTGAGGTCTATGACTTATTTATAAAGGGTTTATTTTTAGCATTAAAAACTGGTCTCTTGTGCTGTGGGAGAAGTTAATTTTTAAAATTAAAAGTACTTGGCTGTCTTATAAGGCGGTAGTTTCACTGTGAGTTACAATGCAAACCCAAAATAAGGGATGGGTATACCACATGCCTACAAAGAGGGGGGGGGGGGGACGACACCCCCCGCATATTTTTAGAATAATTCTTTTATGAACTACCCCATATATATCAAAGAAATAACACAAGAGTTTGACATGTTTTATGTAAGAGATAAAAAAAAATAAGGGATGGGTATACCACATGCCTACAAAGAGGGGGTGGGGGGACGACACACCCCGCATATTTTTAGAATAATTCTTTTATGAACTACCCCATATATATCAAAGAAATAACACAAGAGTTTGACATGTTTTATGTAAGAGATAAAATGGTGGTCTGACAGCTTATAGACAACTTTTTTAAACACTTGTTTTAACATAAGGAGATCTTCTGTTTTTTAAGCTCCAGTTTGAATAGTGCAAAGGGAATTTTTTTAAAATTAATAGATATTGCTGTTTATTTCTCCCATTAAATATTATGAAAAACAGTCGCCATCTTTATCCTGACATATTTTGTAGTTGTAGACTTTGGGAGTTTAGTCCATTGTATCCATCCTCTACAATAAGTCATCCATTTGAAAGTTGTTTTTGTTAGGTGGCCATGTCCTGATGGGAGAGCTAAAGATTTCTTGCATGAAGACTAACAAATAATTTTTTAAAAATTACCAGTAAAAATATTTGATATCATATTATTTTTAATAAATCAAGGAAATATCAGAGCTATCATAGATTAAAGATAATAAACAAAATATACAAGAACAGGCCCTTTTGTGCTTTAAAAAAGATTATTTTTTTTAACACAAAAAGGTATGTGACAGAAGTTTTCATTTGGCTACTGAAAGTATGTAAGATGTTGAAGTAAATGTGTTGGTTCTTGTTGGTCACATTTTGACAGATGCAACATGAGAATGTCGAGGGATGGAAGTGATCTGGTCAATGCTAAGCAATACTATTGAAAAGGCTGAAATATTAATTGTACAACTATTTTAAGAGAAGTTGAGATAGGTTATCAATGAGTTTAAATTTAAGCAGGTGCTGACAATGATGCATGCCTTAATCATAGCAATATTAGCGTAATACCAAGGCTGGCAATTGGTTTATGTTTGGTGAAGGGTGTAGAAGAGATTTATGACTTTTGAAGTCTAATGAGTTTTGTTTGAATCCATGGTTTTAAAGTATTCCAATGTAATCCAAGAATGGTCTTGTGTGAGAAATTAGCTGGTTAAGGTCATTGAGCTCATGCAAGTCTGAAGCTTTCTGGTTCACCACTGACCTGGAATGTCTCCACCAGGAGTGATCATGAACAGAGACTACAAGTCTTTTTTAGATTCATGATAATCTGTCTGATGCCAACACCAACCAGCAACTGTCACAATGAGTTCAATTAGACTAAATTTGTTCACATCAAGTTTTAGTTTCATTGGTGTTGTCCAGGCTCTATTAATAACTAAACTTTACAACTCATACAGTATTGTATTTGTATGGAGCTTAATGATATTGGGTTTGTCATATGTAACAGACAACCAAGGCCAACCTTGCAAAAGTTGTCAAAGCTTTTGATAATTATTAATATTCACATGGATTTCACAATTATTTGAACACTATGGTACTAAAAAGTAATATTTCATCCATTGTAAACAATTACTGTGATAAAGATGTAAATAATATGCAATGTAGTAATATTAAATGCAAAATATTTTATGTTAAAATGAAACATAAGTTTCTTTGGGCAATGCTTGGAAGTTAAATTCAATACTTTGTTCCAATAGAAAGGACAATACTTACTAATAAAAATTTACAATTTTGTTAACTTCACAAATATACTAACTCATAAGGAGCGCTTGTAATTAACTGCAGGTTATACAACTTTTGCCATATTTTAAATATTAAAATTCTACATAACTTTTTTTTTTAGAATCCCTCTTAAATTGTTAAAGAAACAAAATTTAAAAATGATATTTCATAAGATACTCTTGTCATGCAAAAAAACATAATAATGTAATAAATATGTCATGATACAGAAAAATAAAGCAAAAAATAAATGAAACCAATTGTAAGGTGCAACACAGTGTCATAAATCATATGAATAACCCAAAAAAAAAAAATTATTTTTAAGAAATGTACAGTTTAAAATGATTCTGTGCATTGTAAAAAAAAATTTACGCTTCTGGCATTATTTTTGTTCATCTCTGAATCAGTACAGTACATTTTAATTTTGGATTCGCCATAGTTTTTATGAATCATTTTCTATCTGGATTGGATTGAAACATTTTAATGTGGCACATGTACTACCGATAGGTATCTCTGCTTAGAATTAAAAGTAAATAAAACCAAGGCTAGCAACTCTGAATGCATGGAATGTTATTTGCAGAACAAACCAAACATGAACAAGATTGTAACCCTCAGATAGTTTTAATTAATAATATTTCTTATGAATCCTCATCTGAGTTTGAGGCGTTGTCAATAATTTTAGACTCATTGATGTCCTTAAAGCAGAGATTGATTTTTTTTACATTAAAAAAAAAATCTTTAACTGTACCGGTAATTATGAACTTATTGGGTTTAGGTGAATGCCAAAATGTCTATTGAAATTAAATTATGGAAACTTAAATAGAGCTGCTCAAACAAGTAAGCATGAAATGTGGCACATGCCATGCTTCACAGTACAGATGAGAAAACAAAAATATGATCATTTAAGAAAAAATTCAGTAAAAGAAAGGCACTGAATAATCAAAGATTCATGATTATATCACAAACAAACATTGTATAGTGTGGGCTGATTAAATATGTAATTACTATTGGAAGGATAACAAACGATGTAAATGTGAGGTGAATTTTGGTTTTGCTCTCACACTAAATAACAAAATATGTGAAGCTGAATAATGTGGGAAAGTTATATAACAAAAAGAAATACTAAATATGTGGAGCATTTAGTTCATATTAAACTTTAAATATAAATCTCAAGGCTATCTTCACTGAATCTTAAAGTCATTCAAATAATGAACTAAGGCATCATGTACTTAAAAAGTATTTTCGGCCTGGATATCAAAGTCAACTCAACTGTTTTAACTCATTACACCATTTCTTTCCCAAGTTATTGATATTTGAAGTTTAATGCAAGTTATGTGGTGATATACATTAAATTAATCATGGCAAAAACTTCAGTTATCTGCCCTACTCTCACAACACACATGTGAATAAATCCCACACTAAGATGTGTACACAGAGCCATCTGGTGTACACTGCAACCCCTGCTATGGGGCCTTAGCTTTTCGAGGAGCCCAAATTAGCGATGGGGGGAAAGAGTGGCACAAAACCAAAAAGTGCCCCCCACCCCCTCCAAAAGTCATATTACAAGTGTTTGCAAACTTTAACTTGCAATTGTTAAAAAGTAAAATTGTTTTTAAACTGATTTTAAGTAATGATGATGCCCTGGCCAGCAAAGATGAAGATGCCTTCATTAGCCTCACGAGTGATTAAAAATGACTACATACATACCTTTCTCTTTAAGTAAGTGTTTATTTTGCTTCATTTATATAAGAGTTAGTATGCTTAGCATTAAAATAATCAAACACACTATTATTCAAAGTATTCACTGATTTTGTTTCAAAATTCTCTTATTCACCGGATATTGTTAAAGCAAAGAAAATTGATCTGAATACTATTACTATAACAATAAATCAGTGCAACAAAAAGTTTTTAAAATGAACCCAATTTAAGGCAAGAACCATGTCAATGATATACATAATAAAATTAAGTCACAACTTCACAATAACTTAGTTGGGAATGTCTAACACTACATACAGGAAAATTCAGAAATGTGTAAAAATACAAGAGGGCATTCACAGAGTTCCAGAGATTTTTCCTTAAAGCTTTTCAACACCTCATAAATTATCAAGCACAATAAATATTGTATAACAGTGTACTTGAAGCAGCACTCTTAAAATAATGTGTTTATATAAGAGAACTCGATACATAGAGGACAGAAAAACATATTATTGTGTATATTTCTTTACAACATCAAATTTCATCAATATTATTTTTATTGCCTCAAGCTAATTCAAAATTTAATGTTTTTATTAAATAGGCTCATTTTACTTTGCCTATACTTGGCTAAGTCTAACTTGAGAAAGTTGAATCAAATGTGGTCCTAGAATTAAACCTTGCTGGCTGCATTTATCAATATCAGTAACATTTTGAATGTAAAGTTTTATTTAAAAATTTAATTACAAAATTTAAAAAAAACATATCTGGGTAACAAAAATGCTGAACAGCTAATTTGTAATTCAAAACATGAACACCAGTAGTTAATTGTGAACATGGTCTAATATTGCTAGGTAAGACCTTACTTAATATACTAACAGTTATAGAACAATCTAAAAATAAAAATACAATTCTCTTTGTATGAAAGTATGGAGCAATGGTGCATTCAATAAAATTGTACTCAATGAGATTCTTAAAAATACTACACAAGTTTGTTTTGTGTATAATATTTTCTTTTGCTTCACAGAAATAGTCTCAATTTAAATAAGATGAAATTAATCTACTGTGCAAAAGGAGGTGGGACATTACCAGGGGGGGGGGGGTTGGGTGTTTAGCACTAACAGGGATTCTTATAAAGAGCGTAACTTGAATACATCTTTTGTCAAGAAAATTTAGTAAGGTAGATAGTAGATGGGAAGTTCGTGCATTGCCACCACTATTGTTTGTTATGCCATGGCTAGTGTTAGATATATAACTTATATTAAAAAATGTCTCTAATGTAAAGCTACACGACAAGCTTTGTCTAAAAAATGCACTAAAGAAAACAATAACAAATAGACACTAATTCCTGAGCTGTGAGATTTGTTGTTATTGTTTGTATCTGTGTTGTAGGTGCCGGATCGCTCTGCATTCCCAAAACTTGAGGATGCACAGTGTGGGGGTTTAAATCCATCAATCATGGACTTGACAATGTCTACAGCATCACTTGAGCATTTTTTGGTCACCACCTTCAATGTGCAGTCAGATAGTACATTCTGATATCTGTGTAATAATGGCATGGGAAATTATTTAACATCTTGTTATGGATCTTGACAGTTATTAGTGCGATATAAAGAATAGAATAGGTAGATACAGTAGCGTTGCTAGGGGGTGCATGGGCATTCAGACTGCACTGAGAGACACATAATGGAAAATTGAAAAATTTGACAGATTTCGCTCGAGTCAATTTTATCACAGATCTAAGTTAAATAAATGATCAGGTTGCATCTAGAATAGGGTGCCACCAGATCAGGATTGCTACAAGATCAGGTTGTCAAAAGAGCATGTTGTCACCCGAGCAGACAGAATTTTTAAACATTTCTTTTGTGATCAATGTGATAAAGCTACTTACATGCATACAAAATTCATTCTGGCGTCTTCATTAGTTGTGGCAGCAAATTGTGTCTCAAAGTTTTCTTTGCCCTCGCTGGCACATTCTTCCTGATCTGCATGGTGACCACTGATGCAGGGTAAATTTTTCTCATAAACTGAAAGAAAGAGAAACATTGTTTTGTGCTACCTTCAGGATGGCAGAGAAATGATGGAGTAAGTCCCTTTAGGCCAAATATTTTATAGTGGGTTTGCACAGGGAGAAGTTGCCGAAGTTGGGTGGTGTTGACAGTTAGCAGTTAGCTGGTGTTGACAGTGAGCAGTTAGTGTTTACATTGTGTTGACAGTGAGCAGTTAGGTGATGAGGGTTTGGTTGACAGGGAACAGTTAGGTGGTGTTGACAGTGAGCAGTTAGGTGGGGCTGACATGGAGCAGTTAGGTGATGAGGGTGGGACTGACAGGGAACAGTTAGGTGGTGTTGACAGTGAGCAGTTAGGTGGGGCTGACAGGGAGCAGTTAGGTGATGAGGGTGGGGCTGACAGGGAACAGTTAGGTGGTTGGTTGACAGGGAGCAGTTAGGTGGGGCTGACAGGGAGCAGTTAGGTGATGAGGGTGGGGCTGACAGGGAACAGTTAGGTGGTTGGTTGACAGGGAGCAGTTAGGTGGGGCTGACAGGGAGCAGTTAGGGGATGATGGTGTGGTGGACAGCCAGCAGTTGGGTGAAGTTGACAGGGAGAAATTAGGTGATGTCGGCAGTGAACAGTTAGGTGTGTACATTGTGTTGACAGTGAGCAATTAGATGATGAGGGGATGATTGACAGGGAGCAGTTGAGTGATGTTGACAGTGAGCAGTTTGATAGTGTTGGCACTGAACAGTTAGTTTTGTAGATGGTGTTGACAGTGAGCAGTTGTGTGATATTGACAGGGAGCAATTAGTAGAGGTGTCTGTGGTTTTCAGGGGGCCTTTAAGAAAGATGAATAAAAAAAATAGTAAAGGATGTGGTCATTTACGGGGACGACTGCCACTATTTTTTCGAATTTCACGAATGTATCCCTAAATCGATCCCTATGCCAAACCTGAACCCTAAATCGATCCCTATGCCAAACCTGAACCCTAAATGGATCCCTATGCTTAACCTGAACCCAAAATCGATCCCTCAACCTAACCTAAACCCTAATTCACTGCAACTATAATAAACACCCAGAAGACGCCGTGGCCGCCGTCCTCAGATTTAGCCAAGGATGTTCCTTAGGTAAGTAATCATAATACTTAAGGAATATTGGCGAAAAGGTAAAAAACAAAAAAAACAAAAAGCATTCAAATAAATGTACAAATTGACAAATAGTGTACCTTTAAAATTTGTACAAAAATAATTGATACTTCTTCGCTTCTGCTCAAGGTCAAACATACTCCTCATTGAGTAGGCCTCATCTGTGCTGTCATGCCTGCATCCTTCAAAGATTCTCTCGATACAGTTGATGGCTGTTAGAAAATCTCCATTGCTGATGACAAGAAAACGATGGCAGCAGTTTTGAAATGGCTCTACGTCTAGGTCTAGTATTGTTCCTAATTCAGTGATTTTTTTTTAATATGAGAGCTTTCAGCTAAAACTTTAAAGAAATCATAAATTGACCCAAAAACTTGATAAAGTGATATTTGGTGAGTACTTTTATTCTTTCTTTAAGTATTTTGGGTGAACAAAGCTGCATCCTTATTTTTTCCATTATGTTTTTTATTTAATATAATCATTCGTTTAAAGCACTTATCGAGTCTTATCTTAATGTATTTGTTAAAAATATGAATTTTAGGGGAACAAATAATTATAAATTTGAATCAAATCTTTAAAAAAAATTGCATCCGTCTGATTAAACTTTCAGCTGTACCTACCCACACATGGGACGTTGTACCTACTCACACATGGGACGCTGTATCTACCCACACATGGGACGTTGTACCTACCCACACATGGGACGTTGTACCTACTCACACATGGGACGTTGTACCTACCCACACATCGGACGTTGTACCTACTCACACATGTGACGCTGTACTTACCCACACATGTAACGCTGTACCTACCCGCACATGTCACCCTGTACCTACCCACACATGTGACACCTACCTACCCACACAGGAAACGCTGTACTTACTCACACATGTAACTGTACCTACCCACACATGCAACACTGTACCGACCCACACATGGGTCTTTGTACTTACCCACACATGCAACACTGTACCGACCCACACATGGGACTTTGTACTTACCCACACATGTAACGCTGTACCGACCCACACATGTGACACTGTAATGTGACTGTACCTACCACTCATTGATTGATTGGATATTTATATAGCGCTGGTATCCATGCCACTTTAGCATGCTCACTGCGCTCTGGTTTTCTTAAATCTATTTAAACAAAAAAAGTTTTAAAATATTTCTTAAATGATTTTTGTTATCATTTTCAGTTCCCCTCAAAGATTGAGGCCAACTGTTCCATAATTTTGGCGCTATCCCTTCAAAAGAGCGCACCCCGTAAGACTTTGTTCTGTGTTCATCCACACTTGGAACTCTCAGTAAGTACTGTGTTGAAGACCGCTGGCTCTTCAACGATACATGTTTATAAATCAGTTCTTTGAGGTTTCCGGTGCAGAGCAATCAATACAGCTGTACGTCAGGGACAGAATTTTGTAGTTAATGTGCTCACCTACAGGAATCCAATGGAGATCTTTTAGAACTGGGCTGATGTGGTCAGATTTCTTTGGTGATGTGGTCAGATTTCTTTGGTGATGTGGTCAGATTTCTTTATCCGCGATACAATGTGTGCTGCATTATTTTGTATCTTTTGGAGTCTCTGAATTTGCTTCTGAGGTAAACCCCACAAACAACTTTTACAGTAATCTAATCTTGACTGGATTAGATTTACCGCTACAGCATTGGCTGTTCTCCTATTGAGTTGAGGACGCAGCTGACCCAGGACACGCAGATGACAGAAGCATGCCTTGACCACAGAACTGATTTGGGGAATCATACTAAGTTTACTGTCAATATAAAAGCCAAGGTCTCTGACAGTCGAGTACAACAAGATCTCTGATTCACCAACTTTTATTGATGCGATGGCAACTTTCCGAACATTGACGTCTGAACCACAAATAATGGCCTTAGTCTTATTATCATTTAAGTTTAGTCTGTTTGCTGACATCCATTCTTTCACAGCAATACAGCACTCCTCGACAGCCTGAACAGCAGCAGCACACTCCAAAGGATCAGGGCGGAAACACTTGTACAGTTGTGTTATCTTCAAATATTTTGCTAGAAATACCATGACTTTCAATAATTTTGCCGAGCTGGCTAGTGTACATGGAGAACAGAATAGGTCCTAAAACTGAGCCCTGTGGCACACCACAGGTAACGAAGTGTCCATGGAACGTGTCTGCTTCACTCCAAAACGTTGAGTCCTGTCATTCAGATAAGAATAAAACCAGCGAAGTGCAGTTCCAGTGATGCCTGCCACATGCAGAAGTCTTGACAGAAGAAGATCATGGTCGATCACATCAAAAGCAGCACTGAAATCCAACAGGACCAATATTGTCGGATCGCCACTGTCAGCACTACAATTAACATCATTCATAACACGGCGTAGTGCTGTCTCACAGCTGTGCCCATGTCGATATGCAGATTGAAAGTTATCTAGCAAGTCATAAGTGTTTAGATGCTGCACAAGCTGCTGTGACACAACTCTCTCAAGAATCTTAGATTCAAAGGGCAGGTTGGAGACCGGGCGAAAATTCTTGCAGTCATTTCGGTCCAGGCCACTTTTTTTTTAAAGCAGAGGCTTAACGACCGCTGTCTTGAAGAGACGTGGGACTGTAGCAGACTGAAGGCTTAACGACCGCTGTCTTGAAGAGACGTGGGACTGTAGCAGACTGAAGGCTTAACGACCGCTGTCTGGAAGAGACATGGGACTGTAGCAGACTGAAGGCTTAACGACCGCTGTCTGGAAGAGACATGGGACTGTAGCAGACTGAAGGCTTAACGACCGCTGTCTGGAAGAGACATGGGACTGTAGCAGACTGAAGGCTTAACGACCGCTGTCTGGAAGAGACATGGGACTGTAGCAGACTGAAGGCTTAACGACCGCTGTCTGGAAGAGACATGGGACTGTAGCAGACTGAAGGCTAATATTCAAGATGTTGACCAGTACAGGAAACAAGACT